AACGAAGGACTTTGGTCTTGTCACTTGCCCACCCTAGGGGGTGTTCCGAAGACATTGTGGTCGTCCATCCCGGAGGCGTGGACGTTGTCGACCACATGCCCACCCCTTAGAGTGTACCGAAAACAAGCGACCTTCGCCCACCCCTTGATCGGGGTGTTCCATAAACGAAGGACTTTGGTCTTGTCACTTGCCCACCCTAGGGGATGTTGCGAAAACATTGTGGTCGTCCAGCCCGGAAGCGTGGACGCTGTCGACCACATGCCCACCCCTTAGAATGTACCGAAAATAAGCGACCTTCGCCCACCCCTTGATCGGGGTGTTCCATAAACGAAGGACTTTGGTCTTGTAACTTGCCCACCCTAGGGGGTGTTTCGAAAACATTGTGGTCGTCCAGCCCGGAGGCGTGGACGTTGTCGACCACATGCCACCTCTTAGAATGTAGCAAAAACAAGCGATCTTCACCCACCCCTTGATCGGGGTGTTCCATAAACGAAGGACTTTGGTCTTGTCCCTTGCCCAGCCTAGAGGATGTTCCGAAAACATTGTGGTCATCCAGCCCGGAGGCGTGGACGTTGTCGACCACATGCCCACCCCTTAGAATGTACCGAAAACAAGCGACCTTCGCCCACCCCTTGATCGGGGTGTTCCATAAACGAAGGACTTTGGTCTTGTCACTTGCCCACCCTAGGGGATGTTCCGAAAACATTGTGGTCGTCCAGCCCGAAAGCGTGGACGTTGTCGACCACATGCCCACCACTTAGAATGTACCAAAAACAAGCGACCTTCGCCCACCCCTTGATCGGGGTGTTCCATAAACGAAGGACTTTGGTCTTCTTTAAGTAGAAAGATCGCGTGGGTGGTCGGTGTTCTTTGTGAGCATCGTCTTGTGATCATATAAAGTATGTACAGTGTCATTGAATGCACCAAATGAAGCTCGTATGTAATCATATTTGTAACAAGTTAATAACGCTGGCAGAAACATGTCCATATAGAAATCGACCGTCTTGATAACTTCCCGTACGAGGATTACAACGATTCAACTGCTCGAATATGGAAAAAATTTTACACATAATATTTTTTAAGATTGGCTATATTCCACGACCTAGCCAGTGACCTTCCTTCAGCGTCCTTCAGCGAGTATGCTCCTCCTGCATGCACCTTTTCGACCAAGTACGGTCCTTCCCAATTGGGTTCCAACTTTCCCACATGTTTCAGCACATCTACCCTCTTCCACACTAGGTCTCCCACCTGGAATCGGCAGATCTTCACTTTCCTGTCATGTGCTGCCCTCATCCTTTGTTTGTATGCCTCCACCCTGGTCGAGGCTTGCCCTCTGAGTTCTTCAATAGTGTCTAGGGCGGTCAGCATGTGTTCCTCATTTTGCTCCTGGTTATAAGTGCTCGATCGTTGGGATTGTAGCTCTAACTCAATTGGCAAAAGCGCCTCCATCCCATACACCAAGCTAAAGGGCGTTTCGCCGGTGGTCGACCTTGGAGTGGTCCTATACGCCCAGAGCACGGATGTTAGCTCGTCCACCCACGCCCCTGAAGCTTTCTCCAGTCTTGTTTTTAGTCCGTTTAGGATGATCCTGTTGGTCACCTCTACCTGTCCGTTGGCCTGTGGGTGGGCGACAGAGGCAAAGTGCTGCTCGATACCCATTTCCTCGCACCATGCTCTTACACGCTTACCGTTGAATTGAGTTCCATTATCAGATATCAGGACTTTAGGGACCCCAAATCGACAGCAAATGTTATTGTACAGGAACTGGATCACTTTATCTTATGTAATTTTGGCCAACGGCCCAGCTTCCACCCATTTAGTAAAGTAGTCGACCGCCACAATCAAAAATTTTCGCGGCCCCGCTGCCTGCGGCATTGGCCCTACCAGGTCGATTCCCCATTGCGCAAACGGAATCGGTGCGCTCATTGTAGTCATCGTCTCCGCTGGTTGGTGTATGAGCGGGCCGTGCTTCTGGCACTGCATGCATCTCCTGGCCATTTCTTTAGCGTCCGTCTTCATTGTCGGCCAGAAGTAACCTGCTCTTAAGATTTTTGCGACCATGGCTCCGGCTTTGCTATGATCGCCACAGCATCCGTCATGCACTTATCGTAAAACGTACCGACCCTCCTCTTTAGATACACACCTCAAATTTGGACCTGCATACGATCGCTTATAGAGGATCCCACCTTGCTCGAAAAACCTCCTCACCACCTTCATGGTTCCTTCACGCAACTCCTTCTGGATTGGGGCCCTCCAATCTTCTACCTCCTCAATCTCTGCTACCTCGACTTCGGCCGCGCTCTTCTCCATATGGAGCAGGGTCACACTCCTACTCTTACAATCGACCAAGTTTTGCGCAATTTTAGACAGCAAATCAGCTCGACCATTTTCACCTCGCGGTATCGGTATTAATTCAAATGACCCAAATTCTTCCTTCAACTTCCTCATGTTGTCCACATGACGCTGCAGCCGATCCTCCTTGATCTCGAAACCT